GCAGCTCCTCCAACGCCGGGACTCGACCCTGGACCTGAATCCCCAAATCAGGGGGCGGGTCGCGGGTTCGAGTCCCAGCGCAGGCCCTTGTCCCTCCAGCACAACCCAAACCCCAGCTCTGCCTCCAAGAGAAGGGGAAATCACTCCCTGCATCCCACCCGACACAGCGAGAGCCTTAAGGAAGGTCAAGGGGAGCCTGCCAGCAGAGCGTTCACCAATCCCCGCTTAACCCTCCAGTACTGGGTCACTAGGATGAAGGCTTCCCATCCCCCCAGCCTCCAAGAAGAGTGCCTGCGTCAGGAAAACGGGGCAGAGCATGTTCAGAAGGTTGTGGAAGGAAGCACCCGCTACGCCCGACCGCAGGGAAACGCCTCCCGCAGAATTCCTCCGGAGGCTGCCAGGACAAGTCTTTCATCCCGATGAGTTTCTCCCAGGAGTGTGGGATCACCACGCCCAAGCAACGCGAAGCTGCGGGCCAGCAGCAAGCTTTCACCAGGACAGTTACCGTGCCACGGCTGGCCCTGTCTGTACTTGTCCTTCCCCAGGTCTCAGGCAGCTATGAACTACAAGTTCTGGGTTTTTAGGCTCACCGAGCACACAAGCTTGGTTGATCCAGGCAGTACTATCAGCTTTAAACCACCAGTCAGAAATGCAACACCCTTCCCCATTCCCACTGGACAGGACCAGTGCTATTTCCCCTCATTGGAGTAGTTCAACTAGGGGGGGGAAAAAAACACTAACACAATTTGTTACAAGTCTGTAGTTCTTCTAAAAATAAATATAAAAACACCCTGCTCCAAACCTGAGACCAGGAGCCAGCCTGTGCTCAGCAGGAGCCGAACCAGCCCAAAGGCTCTGTGACAGTCTCTGCTCAGCTTGACTGGGCCCTGAAGCTCTGCAGAGCGCGATGGGATGCCCGGACAAACGTCATGTCCTGCCTGTACTTCATGGCAGTGGGTGGCTGGCACCTGAGCAGCTGGTCACCACTGTCCTTTGGGTCAGGGTCATCGTAGATGGTGGAGATGAGGATGGGACCATCTTGCCGGGGCTTTTTCACCCTGCTGAAAGTTGGCAGTTTCTCCCCGTGGTACCTAGAAGGAAGCAGGAAACGTTTGGTCCAACACTGCTGAGGTAGACAGATAGTCCTGTGCATCCCAGCTCCTTTCCTTCACCTGCTGCAGAGGAAAAGTGCCCTTGTAATAAGGATTCTTGTCCTATTCCTGGCTGTGAGATCGCTGTAGAAGAGCCAGCCCTCACAGCACAGCACCACACAAAGCCTCCAACCCCTTCCCCTAAGAAGGTAGGGCTGAGGTGTGCAGCTACAGCTCGGGTAGCTGGGGCTCTCCCTACCAGAATACCATAGCAGAGGTGACCCTCAGTCCTCAAGCACAGCTCTCCCTTTGTGTTTGTGTGCTGCACGAACCTGCAAGTGATTCCAGTTCTACTCTAACACCACAAGCTCCTGTAAGGAGCACTGGACCATCAGGAAGGGCAGCCTATTTGGCTCTGGAGTGCTGTGGCAGGCCCTGCCACCAGCTGCACGAAGGCAGATCCCTGCTCTTCTGCAGCCAGTTAGCTGCTGTGTCAGCCCAGAGAGCCCAGGCAGAAGCTCTGAACACCACCCAGCAGGGCAGGGTTGGATACTTACCCCAGCCCCCTCTTACATCTGGGGTTCTGACCCTCGTTGTCCAGAGCTTCAGCCATTCCGGAGTTGCTGGCCCCCAGCCCCAGCCCCTCTGTCCAGCCCTGCTGCTCCAGCACCTTCCTGCCAAAGCCCTGGGAGAAAGGAAAAAAAACCATCACAGAGTTGTTGGACAAAGCCCATCCTCATCTTGTGCAGAATGCTCTGCCCCTTCCTCACAGCTAAGACCTCTCCTCCCCCTAACCCAGGAGCACTGACACCAGGGCCCTTCCTGCCCTGCTCCATCCCCTCCTGAGCATGTATCCAGAGCTCACCTTGGTGTGTCTCTCAAAGGCACCAATCTGCTGCCTTGAAACAGACCCATCCTCCAAACCATCCCGGAGTCGCTGCTCCAGCCGCATCTGGACCGAGTCCCGAGCATCCTTATCACCTCCATCTAGGGAGAAAGAAGCAAGAGTCAGGGCAGCACAGCTCAGGAAAGCTGTTCACTACCATCATTTCCCCCAGAGCACCATGCAACAAGGAGGCAGAACCTGTTCTTTTTGGCAACTCTCACTGCCAGACAAGAAGAAACCTTGTTTGATGTACACTGACGTCTTGGACGCTTTCAAAGGATGACAAAGCCAGAGAGTTCCTCACTGCAGAAATTCTGCAGGGTCAGAATTTCCCAACCTCCCTGGTTTCCTCAGGGGGGATTCAGCTCAAGATACCTTTGTCATAGTAGATGCTCATGTCCACATCCCAGTCATCCGCAGTCTGCTCATCAAAGTCTGCCAAGAGAAAGGAAACAACAGTTTTGGGGATGGCTGTGGAAGTCTGACATGGAAGAGCTGTTTGCTGGTGGCCCAGATCCCTATTTTCTCCAACAAAACGGGAAGGAAACAGTATTAGGAACTCTGCACACCACAGTGCTTACACTGCAGGCTGCCAACACGACCACTGCGGTCTGTGGTGACTGGATTGAACCACTGCAGGTTTTGTGATGGAGGGAAGGTTTAAAAAGCAATGGCAAGATGCCCACATCTGCAGCTGATGTGGAGCGCTCCTCTGGGGTCACACCTGATTTACCTGCAGGCCTGGGGCCCCCCCAGCTCGCGGTGGTTAGTTTGTGGCTCAGTGACACAAACACCAACGTTACCTCCATTCTCCTCCTGCCAGTACTGAGCATCTGTGTAGAAGACAAGGCCAGAGCCGCCTTTCTCCCACTTCAGCTCAATCTCCTCCTCAAAGAGCCTCTCCTCCACACGGTCCTGCTTGGTCACATCCTCGTGCAGAGCCTCGTGGCGCTCCCATTCCTCACAGGTGTCGTTGTCCTGCAAAGGAGATGGAGAAGGGTGGGTATCACACGGCCTCCCCGTTTCCCTCACCCTCACTGCCCATCACAACCCCTTCCCTATGAAACAGCTTTGTCGACAGAGCTCGTCTCAGCCTGCTGCTTTCAGGCACTAACACGACCAGCACTGATGACTTCATTCCCCTGACTAATGCCATCTCCAGAGTCAGCAGACACAAGTGGTGAAAAATACCACATCACACCCACTTCACAGCATGCTTTCAGCAGCGTACTCACTCGGTAACACAAAGATGCCCATGTAAGGAGCAGGTGTGTTGGACATAAAGTCAGCACTAGCAACAAATTAATTCCACTCCTGTTGATCCCTAAAGAGATTGTGTCTGTTCCAGGGAAGCAGCTCACTGGCACGGACATGGATCAGACTGACAGCTTTACTGCTGCCTCCCCACTTCTGGGTAGAGGCCTCTAAAGAAGACATTAACCAGCTGAGGAACAGCCAAAAGAATGGCTGGAGATCCAGGAAACAGCCTGTGAGAAACAGCTAAAGGAGTCTGCTTCGTCTGGAGAAGAAAAGACTGAATACAAAGTTTGTAAAGGAGGGAACAAAGCGTTCCCTGTGTCCGCTGTTGCTAGGAGAACCTTCTGGCATAAAATTGCAGCAAAGATTTGGCATCTAAGTTAATTCTGGTGTAGCAAAGAATGGGAAAGGCTTGCCTCAGGATTGTGCTGGCTCTGTAATGACAGAAGGCTGTAACAACAGGCCAGACAGGCGTCTCCCAGGTGGAGGAAAGGGAGAAAGTCTCCAGAGAGCCTGTCCAGCCCAGTTTTCTAGGAGTCTTTGCCATGAAAGCCGTTTTTCTCAGGATGAGTAACTTCAATCCCAGGAGCAACCAAGGTCAACCATTTGTACAGCTCCATGTGTCGTTTCCAGCACATAAACATGCTCCCAAATCTCATTTACAAGCAACAGCAGAGCTGGGCCAAGCTGCCACGCAGCAGGGCAGGGATCTGCTCCTGTAGCACCAGCCTCCTCCTGTGTCTGCTCCTCTGGGCCAAACCCTCTGGGCTCAACCCCTACAACCAGCTTGATCTGGACAAGCCGTTTTGAAGGTGCTGATGCCCACACTGTTCAGGTGCCAAGGGGCTCGGTGCACCAAGACATGAACAACCTTACGTTAACACTGTTTTCAGACAAGCAATTCACCCAATACAGTTGAAAGATTAAAAATGAGCTCTGAGAGAGCTGCATCACCCCCACCCCCCAGCTGTGTGGCTGCAGTGGACAGCTCAGGATGGTGCTAGAAACATCCACTTACATCATCCGAGTGCGATTCCTCTTCCTCCTTCTCCTGCCCCTCCTCATCTTCCTCAGCACTGGCTGGGTGAGTCACCTCAGATCTTGCCACGGGCCCCTCTTCCTCTGTGATCTCATCCCCCGCAGCGGTGTAAACTCTTTCTTCTTCTATAACTGTCTCAGTGTCCTGGTATTCAAAAGGCACATTCCCATACCTACGGGATGAGCCTGTCTTTGGAAAATCCAGCTGCAATTTCTTGATAATCCAGGGAGGCAGCCTGCAGGCCCGGATCAGCTCCATAAAAACCTTCAGGGGGGTGCCCACGTTCCCATAAGGCATGAAAGAAGGAGGGTTGAACTCAGGCAACCGCTTCAAGTCTTCTTCTGCAATAGCCTCCCCTGCAACCGGCTTGTCCCCGCTGCCGAGAGATGCCTCTGTGCCTGCAGCAGGGAAGGAATGGCTCTGTGAGGGCACACACTCCGCCGCAGAGGGGTAAATCAGGGCCCGTCCAGGCAGGAGAGGGATAAGCAGGCTCCAAACCGACTCTTCTTGCCTCAGAAAGGATTTAACGCCTTAAGGAAACCCCAGGAGGGGTCTGAACACTCAGGCTGGCGCCTGCAGGAGCCCAACGGGTTCTCCGGGCCCGTCAGGGGA